AATAACAGCAACAACCCCCACCCAACAACTCCCTCTAAACAATAACCCACTGTAGGGCATGTCATTTTAGGGAGTAAAACTAAATTTTTGCAAATTTCTTCAGGGAGGGGTCCTAAAAATATGTTTTTGGGTGTGAGGAACTCAAGTCCACTATTATTTTCGTGATTGGACATTTAGCTTGGTAAGTCTTCATTTGATGACGAAGCACATAGACTGCTTTTGGAAACTAAAGAATTTTAATTTTACCTTCTGAAGATGTCAGGTAGTGCTTGATAACAACAAGAACAGCAACAACAACAACATAGTATAACTGCAAGTACTTGGCAATAATTATTAATTGTATTAATTTAACCGAAATATATTTTAAAATTCCCAAATCATGTTATAAACTTTTTAACACCCCTCATTTTTGAAAGTTGAAAAATTCAACACACCCTAATAATAGCCCAGCCCAAGAGTCTGTTCAGCAGCCCCAGATTTTGCAGCTGGAGTCAGTCAGGGCCCTGCCCTTCCAGGCAAGATGGAACGGCCTGCAAGGCAGGGAGCAGGTCTTCCAGGTGTCGCAGCCAAGATGATCTCTCATAGCATCACAGTGAGCATGTTAGGGAGTCAATGAACATTATTTATCTTTAATAGGCCTTGGGTTGTATTTGGCAGGTGTTATGAACTCATTAATGCTGAAAATGTCCAGTAATAAATTGCTGGCGTCCTGTGGGAAATGACGGGACGTTCTGACATTTAGTGGCAAATGTCCAGGAGCACTGAATATATCTTTAAGCATCATCACTTATCTATCTATCCATCTCAGTTCCCAAGGGTTCCCTGGAAGAGGGACTGGCTGTTAAACTACTCCGAGAATTGTAGCTCTGTGAGCAGAGCAGGGGTCTCCTAACAACTCTCAGCACCCTTAAGGTAAAGGTAAAGGTACCCCTGCCCGAACGGGCCAGTCTTGACAGACTCTAGGGTTGTGCACTCATCTCACTCTAGAGGCCGGGAGCCAGCGCTGTCCGCAGACACTTCCGGGTCACGTGGCCAGCGTGACAAGCTGCATCTGGCGAGCCAGTGCAGCACACGGAACGCTGTTTACCTTCCCGCCAGTAAGCGGTCCCTATTTATCTACTTGCACCCGGGGGTGCTTTCAAACTGCTATGTTGGCAGGCGCTGGGACCGAGCGACGGGAGCGCACCCCGCCACTGGGATTCGAACCGCCGACCTTTCGATCGGCAAGTCCTAGGCGCTGAGGCTTTTACCCACAGCGCCACCCGCGTCCCGGTGTCAGCACCCTTAACAAACCACAATTCCAAGGATTCTTTGGAAGGAAGCCATCGCTGTTGAATATTGTTTTAAATGTATAATGCAGATGAGGCCTGGCTGTGTGAGTTCATGTTGTCAAATTCCTTCCCCAGTATATAGGATCTTCCATCTCTGCTGGTGTGTGTGCACACGTAGACACACACACACACACACACACACACACACACACCCCATCATAATAAATGTTTTGCTTGTTTGTGAACAATGTGAACATTTTCCCATGGCAGGGCCGTCTTAAGCATATGCAGCGCCGGTGTGATGGCCTGGGATTCGGACTCAGAGGCTGAACCTGAGGAATCCCAGCCTGCACAGGAGTCCCTGCCTCCAGAACCAGCTGAGCCGGGGCTGGGGCATGAGCCTGAAGGGTCCTCACCTGTGCTGGATCCTCAGGTGCAGGCATCAGCTGAGTCTGCTCTGGCTCCTGAAGTGAGGGAGGACCCATTGCCTGCAGGTGCTCCACTCTCAGCCCCATCAGGGGAGGCTGAGGTTGCCTCTGGGTCTGGTAACCCTCCAGCCTCTCCTGAGCTGCAGAGGCTCAGGGCAGAGAGGCGGAGGGATCTAAGTTCCTGCAGGAGGAGTGCTCGCCTCCAGACCAGGAGAGGCGAGTCACCTGTGGACCAGGGCCACCCTATGCCTCGGGGCAGATAAAAGCGAGCCAGCCCCAGTCCCAGGTTGCGGGAGCAACATAGTTGGTAACCTGTTCCTGCCTGCACCCTGTCCTGCTCTTCTGCCCGAGTTCCTGACCTCACCCGACACCCTGCCTTGAACCCTGCTTCAGCTTTGACGGGCAGCCTCCATACTGCATCCTTGACCTCGGACTGGACTTGGACCTCGCCGCACGGTTAACTCTCGGGACCAGCACAGCCAGGGTGCAAAGATCCTTTGGGGAACCCCAAAGTTGTCGACCTTTTTTAAGGAAAGGTTCCCCAGAGCCTCATGGTGTAAGCAGCATGCACTGGACGCGCCTCTCCATGGCCCTAAACCAATCCCAGGCATGCAGGAAGGCGGAGCTGGCCGGCCACCTCAGCACCTCGCTGTCTCGCTTGCCCCTGAACTCACAGCCCACAGCAGAAGAGCCCGCGCGGCGCTCCAACCGATGGGCTGGCTCTTCCCCGGTCTCCAACTCTCGGGCCCCAGACTCTCGGCCTGGTGCCCCGAGAGCCTGTCGCCCGGGTGCCCTGCACCACTGGCGCCTATGGTTAAGACGGCCCTGTTCCATGGCATGCTGGCAGGTTTCTAACATTTGATGGGAAAGGTTATCAGAATTTCCAGGGGGCTTGTTTTTCAGAGCCGCGTTAGACACTTTGCTGAGCTCCATTTGGCAACGGGCCCTTTCCACCGTGTAGTCTTTTATTGCAACGTCCGCTATGTAATCTTTACTGTACTTCACTGTCGAGGGATTAAAGATTACCTTGCTGATTAACTGTGCCGCTTTTCAATTACGAACCCATCATTTCATCAATGCTGGAAAAGTCAGGGCTGACAGACTCGCGGGCATAAATGAGAAGGGATTTATTCCGCCCATCTCCCCTCCTCTCTCTTTTAGTCTTGGAGAAAGAGACACTTCTTGCACTGCTGGCTTGCCCTAGCCTGCCAGGACCCTCTCGTGGGAATGTGTGCAAAGTGACTAGGGTTGCCAACTTTGGTTGGGCGAAATATGGGGCAGGTCAGGCAAAATAAAGGACAGGGGCTGTTGGAGAGTCGGCAAGGAGGAGGAGACACTGCGGCTGCCAAGGGTCAGACCTTTGGGACGTGCTGGCTCCGAGGGGCAGGCAGAGGGCAGGGCCCCCCTGAGCAGGAATAAAGAAAGGGGGAGCAGAGCGGAGCAGAAGGAGCCTTGATTTTTTTTAAAAAAATGCTTTGTGTGCCCGTGTCTAATCTTGCTTCTTTCTAAAATGTATTTATTGGTGTGTGTTTTCCTTTTTGTAAATCTATCAAAGAATTAAATAAAAGCAGGATTAAGGGTTTTTTTTCAGGATGGTGGAGCATATGTGTGTTGTGTCGTGTTGCATTGTTGTGGTGGAAATGCTCTGCTGGGGAGGGACACAAATGGGGCGAGGAGGGTCAGTTGTATGAGTGTGTTTGTGTGAGAAATGTCCTTATTTTCATCTGAGGAATGTTGTGGGGGTATGTGCAATGTGACGAATCACTTGCTTTTATCTTCCCTGAATCTCCCACCATTCATGATGGGACCCCTAAATTAGGAGGTCTCTATTTACCTTTTCTCCTTACACCAAATCCATTTGTCGCCCCCCTCCCCCAATCCAATGGTCCCGATGCAGAATAGTACTTCCTTCTGTTTAATGCAGGAAGTACGGAAATTCAGAAATTGCGTATCATACCTAAACTGTGCATAGGAGTGTTGGCAGCCTTGCAGTATGCTGAGCAAGAGAGGAGCACCTAAAATTTTGGCAGAAAAGAGCTTTCTGTATGCACCGGAAATGGATTCTGATTGCGGGGGGGGGGGGGGGTGAGACAGAGACTGCTTAATATTAGGACAGTTTTCTAGGGTGAGTGGGGTGCTCGCTGGGGAGCAGTTTCCATGCTCATTGGCAAGTAGAACACCCTCTTTATTTATTACACACTAAACCAAACTTTAATGTGAAAATGTCACAGGGCACTAGCCAAACCCCATTACAGAGACCCCATTACAGTAAGGAAGAATTAAAAACATCAAGCGCATCATTGACAGCCGATCAGTAAAGGATCTCAGGTTTGAAAGGCCTGTGTAAACAACACAGTTCTTCCAAGATACCTAGAAAAAGGCAGGGACGTCTTTCGCCAAACGTCTATTGGCAAGGAGTTCCAAGGGCAGCAGCGCCTGCCATGTGAAAAGTCAAGCCAAGCTCAGCGGCATGGGGGACCACCAAAGTGCCCCATCAGAAGACCCCTGTGGAGCATAAGGAAATCGGAGGTTGGGTGGCCCATCTGCCAGCGATCTTTTAGCTGTGATTCGTGCATTGCAGGGGTTGGACTAGATGACCCTTGGGAGACCAAATCTATGATTCTACGAAAGACACAGAAGGGCCACAAGTCCCTAGTGCTCTTCCCATCTGATTGGAAACGAACCCATTTCATTGTTAGGGTTCAGCTGTGTGGAGCGAGTGAAATGGAGACATAAGAGCATAAGAGCAGCGCCTGCCATGTGAAAAGCCAACCCAAGCTCAGCGGTCAGCAAACTTTTTCAGCAGGGGGCCAGTCCACTGTCCCTCAGACCTTGGGGTGGGGGCGGACTATATTTTGGAGGGGGGGGGAATGAACGAATTCCTATGCCCCACAAATAACCCAGAGATGCATTTTAAATTAAAGCACACATTCTACACATGTAAAAACACACTGATTCCCGGACCGTTCGCGGGCCGGATTTAGAAGGCGATTGGGCCGGATCCAGACCCCGGGCCTTAGTTTGCCTACCCATGCATAAGAGGCTGGGGGGGGGGGCCGTGAGCAGAATCAAAGCACCTTCCCCTTGCTTCTCAGTAACTACAACCTATCAGTGGCCCTGATCCATAGGGGGGGAGGCAAGTTTATCAGCCCAGGATGCAGTTTCCAGGGAACCCCGATTCTTCTCTTTCAGATGCGGAGTCAGCACTAAGTATTGAAGAGGTGACGTTTGCTTGTACTTGGGAGCTGCATTGCCTAACCAAACGCCTCTCCCCTTCTTCTTTCTCCCTCCTTCTGCCCAGTCCGCCCACGCCGTCTCGGTGCTCAAAGAATGCGCGAAGCTGCGTCCTGAGGACCCCACCGTCCCGCTCCTGGCCGCCAAGGTCTGCATCGGGCCTCTGCACTGGGTAAGCAAGCTGGCGCAGTGCTTGTTACATAATGCATTAGGTGCCGCATTGACAGCAGCGGCGTTTGAGTGCGGCTCAGAGAGAGGAGGAGACAAGAGGCAGTGGGGGGAGTGAGCCTGAACAGCTGCAAAATTACAGCTCTGCACTGAAAAGCGGTGCAAGGGTCCCCTCAGTGCTGTTGCCCGCTGCTTCAGAGTGGGGAACTGCCTGCTCTATCCAATTCCCCTCCAAACAGAACACGAAGACTTGGTTGTTGTTTTCCTCCTGTGCAGCCAGTCCAGCATGCATGCTTTTTTTTACGGGGAGGGGGATAAGCCCCCTCCACGCTACAGTCAGACATTGCACCCCTTAGGTAGGCTCAGGATTGTACCTAGGAGCTCATCTGAGAAGGCTTGGTTTTCTCCAGCTGGCAGCTGGTTCCCTTTCTCTTGCTCCCAATGTCACAACAGCAGGGCCTCTCCCTGTGTGTGTTCAAAATGTCAGCCTTGTTAAGATGTACCCTCCAGTCACCGCGATAGGGGTGGCTGGGAGGAGCCGCGACTCGGAAAAACGTTGATAATCTTCGGCAGCAGAAGCACCTGCCGGTTGTTTAGCTGCTCGGGTTTTAATAAATTCTCAGCCTGCCGTTTACGCCAGTGGCGTCTCCACCAGGTGGCCCTGCAGTCGGCGGCGGATGATGATCATTGGAAATATCAAGTAAAATAAGAAGTGGCAGGCTGCAGGGAAGGGAAATAGACGGTTGCCAAGAGCTCGGGGGCTGATTAATTGTCTTGCTTTTAATTGATTTGACTGAATAATTAACGGGTTGAAATAAATATTACAGGATCACAATGCGGGTGATAAAACGCCTCATGCAGGCCTCCCTTTCTCTCGACTGTCACAGTCAAATAAATACTTCCAGGGAGAATTTTTTAAAAAAATATCATTGTTAATATTTTATGGTGTTGAAGTGCATTGTGCTCCTTTGCGAGGGGGCAGCGCCTTGCTACGTTTTAATATTGCAGTAAGTAAGTTCTTCAGGTAGTTACACTGACAATTCAATTAATGGATGCAGTCTTAAGGAACTTAAGGATGCTCGTGTGCACAGTAGAATAAAGTTTTTGTTCTTGAGGTTCCAATATTGTGTACGCTTTCCTGGGGCCCCATTGAACACAGAAGACATTGCTTCCAGGTAAACATGCACAGGATTGAACTGCTAACATGCAAAAAATTCTGGAATCGTTTTGCTATAATAGTTCTTGGCTGTGGGTTCTTTTCTTTTTTGGGGGCTGTTTCTTTTCTTCGTGGTGTTCCGCAAAGCATTTACATGCTTATTTTTGTAGAATAATTTTAAAGCTTTCTTTTCCACCCAAAATTGGGCCAGCATCGAATATAAGATGGCAAAACACCAAAAAGGGCAAGAATGCAGTAACTAAACAGCAGCAGCGATATATCAGTAAATAATCAATGAGCATTGTAAAAAGCAGGCTCGAATAAAACTGTTTTTGGTTGCCTTCTGAAGGTGCTCAAAGAGGCAGCTGGTTCAAGTTCCCCCGCAATGAGTTCCAGTGTCTCGATGCGGCCATTGAAAAGGTCTAGCTGCAAAGCCCAGGCCTCAGTGCAATGGACTCAGTGCAGCTGTGTCTTCAAAAAGCAGCATGCAGGAATAGACTTTGCTTAATGAGACACCTGCTATAGCAGATGACACACTCACCCCCTCCAGTTTTCCTTGATTTCTAGCCTCACCCGCTTTGCTTTTTAAACATAAGAGAGTTTGGAGCACAATTTCAGTGCAGATGTCACGGACGAGCTGGATGCAGAGGAGTGGTGGGAGACACCAGCTGGGGAACCCCCCAGGGGAAGATGGCTCAGAGCCAGGGGATTGTTGGTGGGATGACCATGAGTGGTCAGAAGGAGAAGACTGGGAGGAGGAGATGTCAGAAGCTGGAGGAGCAACAGGATTTAGTGAGCAGGAAGAGTCTGTGGCAGAGAGCAGTCCACAATCAGAGGCAGAAGCAGAGGCTGAAGAGGATGGGGAGGGCCAAGAGGCTGCTGGAGAATCCAGGGGGTCTCCCCCCTCCTGCTGCAACCAGCTCCCCTTCCCTCTGGTCTCTGAGAAATCAAAAGAGCAGAATAGAGATTGGTTGTGCGCAGACACAGTTTGAGACTTTTGAGTGGGGAAAACCCAGGAGAGGAGGAGCCTTAGGGACTGATGGGAAGGCAAGGACCTCCAGTCCTCACAACTGTGTCATTGGGGCAAGACCTACTGGCAAGGGTTGCTGAGACCACTAGGCCTGAAATGCATTTAGGTTTACTTGAATGAAGAGTTGGCTTCACTGGCTTCGATGACTTGTTGTTGTTGTTTAGTCATTGAGTCGTGTCTGACTCTTCGTGACCCCATGGACCAGAGCACGCCAGGCATTCCTGTCTTCCACTGCCTCCCGCAGTTTGGTCAAACTCATGCTGGTAGCTTCAAGAACACTATCCAACCCTCTCGTCCTCTGTCGTCCCCTTCTCCTTGTGTCCTCCATCTTTCCCAGCATCAGGGTCTTTTCCAGGGAGTCTTCTCTTCTCATGAGGTGGCCAAAATATTGGAGCCTCAGCTTCACGATCTGTCCTTCCAGTGAGCACTCAGGGCTGATTTCCTTCAGAATGGATAGGTTTGATCTTCTTGCAGTCCATGGGACTCTCAAGAGTCTCCTCCAGCACCATAATTCAAAAGCATCCATTCTTCAGCGATCAGCCTTCTTTATGGTCCAGCTCTCACTTCCATACATCACTACAGGGAACTTATTACTTTAGTGCTAACCTGTGTCTGACTCCAGCCCAGACAGTAGATGGCAAGAGGCATGTGTTAAAAGAATATGGGCAACATGTGCATTTTGTGTGTGTCTGCCCTTCCTGAATGCACCAGTTTTGCTCCTGCCATAGAGCTTCCCTTCCTCTCTCAAGACCGAGTAGTAGCCATCCATTTAGAATCTAAGTCTTATTTGGGGGGGAGGATGTGCTTGGGAATATATTTAAGGAGACCTATTTATAGGCTACAGCATCAGATTGTGGGAGGTTTCAGGAGGGTGGGAAAGGAAAAAAAGCTATGTTCTTCTCTCTTCCCTGTACTCTTGTGAAAACTCTTCCGTTGCATCGCCTTGGTGGTTCCTGAACACAACCACTGTAGTGTTTTGCAAAGGCACAGAACATTTCAGGCCCCCTTACAACCAATAAACCGAACATGCCTGCAAACCCTGCTTTCGGCAGGGAACTGTGTCTTCAACCAACCCCCCCCCATATCTGATGTCATTTGGGCAGGTGGGTGTGGCTTGACCGAAGCAGCCTTGGGGGCGACAAATGGGGAGGCCTAGGTCCGCAGACCAAAAGTCTTATAAGCACTATAAGGATTCTGTTCCAGCCTGGCTGGAGCCCTGTAAGGAACTTGGCATGCTCTGCGACATTTAATTGCAGGTCCCAATGTAGATGGCAATGGAACGTGAGAAACCAAACCCATCGGCTGGTAATATAACGCAGGTCACAAGTTAGCAGAAACGGTTAAAACACCATGCACGCCCTCGTAAATTCCACATGGTTCCCATCATTTATCAGCAACTCTGCCTCCTTCCATCAGCAAAGTATAATACTTCAGCCTTGGGAGGACTTCTTTCCTAAATACAATGATTACAGTCATTATGCGCGTTCAAATTGCAGAGTAATAAAATTAGAATGAGATCACCGTCAGTGGAAGTCCGGCAGGATAATTTCTCCATTATTGGCAGCAGTGTGAATAGCTAGGTGTACCTAGGTACCTGGTTGCGGCCGTTTAATGGAAAATTAACAACTTCTCAGCTAGGAAATATCAAGGCACTTCATTTTTCAGGAAGCTTTGCAAAGGCGACTTATTCTGTGCATTTCCAGCAAGCTATAAATACGCTGTTAGTTTTGGAATAAATTTAGAAATGTAATTGCCAGTTAGCTACAGAAAGAGAGAGGAAGCCAGAACGCAGCGTATAAGCGAGAAGCCCGGTGTTCTTTCCCTGTCTAATGTTTATTCTTTGGTGTGGTGGTATAGCTGCTGGACTTTGTTTATTGTACTCAAGAAAGCTGTACTTAGAAATATCTTCTCTCCCCCCCCTCCCCGGCCCGGTTCTTTTTAACTGCTTGGAATAAACATCATTTTAATAATGACAGCACGTTTGGAAAAGCACAGAGCACTTTCTCTCGCTAGTTAATCAAGCTGCCATTTAATTTACTTTCCTGCCCTTGTGCTCGGAATCTCAGAATGCTTAAGAAGCAGAAATGAATATTAATTGGGAGCAGCAAAGATATCCAGAAATCCCAATGTGCCAGGGGGTGCAGTTAGTAAAATACACTATACCTCAGGGACGGGGCACCTCAGGGCTGGTGGCATAGGAGTCAACTCCTAGGGGCTGAGGTCATATCAGGGGCCCTTAATAAAATATTTGAGGTGACCAGACCACCCCAAAGTTGATGGGCTTTGCCATTCAAATGGCATCTTGGCCTAATCTCTTCCTTCTGAAACCTGAGTGTGGTAACAACTACTCGCTTTACAAGGTGGTTGTAATTGGGCATGTCATTTTAGGGGGTGAACTCTTTTTGCAAATTTCTCTAAAAAATATGTTTTGGGATGTGAGGAATTCAAGCCTGCTTTTGTTATTGCAACTGGGCAACTGTTAGCTTGGTAAGTCTATGTTTGATGAAAAAGTAGACAGGCTGCTTTTGGAAAACCAAAGAATTTTAATGTTACCTTCTGAAAATGTCAGGTAATGCTAAATAGCAATAGCAAGTAGTAGTAGTAGTAGTAAGTGCTTTTTTCTGGGAGTACTCAAGGGTACGCAGTACCGGTACCCTTTTTCTAGAAGAAAAGCACTGATGATGATGAGTACTTGACAATCATTTTTTAATGATTTCTATACAAGTTGCAGACATTTTTACCTTACCAAGCAAAAAACTGCATTATATTAATACTTAAACACAAATATATTTTGCATTCCCCAAGTCATGCTTGCAAACTTTTTAGCCACCCCCCCCCCCCCATTTCTGGATATTCTGAAAGTTGAACAATTCAAACATGCCCTATGTTGTGTTAGGATTAAATGAATATGGTAATGCATGTAAAGTAGTTTGGACATGCTGTATAAGCCCTGTATTAATACTTCCTTTTACTAGACTGTGTGGATGGGGATGTGCCTTTCAATGAGCATTTATATTCCACTGGAAACAATGCAGTACACATAAATGTCATTCACATCTGGGAGTACTGTTCAGATGCACGTTTGGACGCAGATTTCATTTATGCCTGAGTTTCTTGATCAGCGATAGCAAGCTGGCTTACAAGGCACTCATAGCTGGACTGCAGAGAGAAACTCATTTGGCACTGTAATGGGCAATGGGGGTTGCTTCGTTGAAGGCGTGGTTGCTGGACAGCCACTCAGTCGGAGAGGTTGCCTGGATAAACTCTTGCCTGGCAGACAGTCCTGATTGCGTCTCGGTCTTCAGTGTGCAGCTTTCTCGGACGCTTCAATAGCAAAAAAACCCACAAAAACCCCGGCAGCTCCACAGAAAGGCTGTGAAATGCGGACCCTGTAATTCCAAAGGCCTTCATGGCAGGCCTTGCTCATTTAAAGGGGACATTAAAAAAAATCTCACTGAGTTTTCTGTACAGTGGTACCCCGGGTTACATACGCTTCAGGTTACATACGCTTCAGGTTACAGACTCCGCTAACCCAGAAATAGTACCTCGGGTTAAGAACTTTGCTTCAGGATGAGAACAGAAATCGTGCTCCGGCGGCGCAGCAGCAGCGGGAGGCCCCATTAGCTAAAATGGTGCTTCAGGTTAAGAACAGTTTCAGGTTAAGAACAGACCTCCAGAACGAGTTAAGTACTTAACCCGAGGTACCACTGCATTGTAGTAAGATAAAACTTCATAGTATACAGTCATACCTCTTGTTACGTTTGCTTCAGGTTAAATCTCTTCAGGTTGCGTCCCACGGCAACCTGGAAGTACCAGAAAGGGTTACTTCCGGGTCTCGCCGCTCACGCATGCGCAGACGCTCAAAATGATGTCACGAATCGTGACCCACGCATGCGCAGAAGCGGCAAATCGTGACCCGCGCACACGCAGACGCTGGTTGCGTTCTGCTCATGTTGCGAACGGGGCTCCGGAATGGATCCCGTTCGCAACCAGAGGTACCACTGTATATCAGCTATATGCTTGGAGGTTGGAATGGCTGTTTTTTAATGATGGAGCAGACAGAGATGCCACCAAGGCCAACTGGAGAACCTTCTGCATGCAAAGCAGTTGTTCTGCCACTGAGCTATGAACCTTCCTGCATAAGACTTTCCAAATCTTCTACCTCTGCGCCTCCACAAGCACTTGCCTCAATGCTGGGGTTTCATTTTAAACCCTTCCCCATTTCATCTTCCCATTTATTTAATTTTGAGCAACACCTCCTTCCTCTGAAAATCTAAATCTGCCTTGTCACCAGCCTGGTGCCCTCCATATGTTTAGGGCTGACAACGCCCATCGCCCCCAGTCAGCAGAGCCTGCTGAGAGGTGTAGTCCAGAGCATCTTGAAGGCAGCAAGTTGGCAAAGGCTGTTTGAAGTATTTCCCCCTCTGCTCCAAGGCAGGAGCACTGCTCTTGTCCCCAGCAAGTTGTTCTTGATGAAAGCTCTTTAATACACACACACACACACACACACACACACAGGCACAAACACACAGAGTACGGATTTTATTGCATGAGGCCTTGGACTCCTGAGGAAGAAGAAAAAGGAAAACACAAAACAAGTTGTGCCAGCTGACTACCAGCTGGGCGGCAGTTTGCCAGGGAATAGCACCTGCTGTTCCTTCTCCCTTGTCATTGTGCCTGTGGGCATGGCTCAAATAGGCATTCCTAAACCTTCCGCAAAATGACATGGTTTGTGGGAAACTGCCTCCCCCTGTTTCGGGGAAAACAGCTTTCAGGAGTTAGGCTGCTGCTAACAAAAGACACAGTTTCTATCAACGATGATGGCAGTGGAGAGCTCAGATTATTATATTTTGCAGCGGTTGAATGCAGCTTGTTGGCAAATCTTGCTGAGTGTTATTTGTGCAGACCTCCTACAGCTCGGGAGAGGATGACAACTTGTTCTCGCTCTCTCTGACAGCTGAGGAACCCTGGGAGGTTGCAGAACTTTTAATGTAGCCTGAGGCTTCTTGGTCACCCTGGAATTTTGTTCCGGCTTAGTGTCCCAGAACCCGGACCTTTCCAACTCTACAGTCCTGTGATTCTACGAACTCTTTGTTCACAATCATAATGCAAAACAGGCTCCGCAGAAGGGGATCTTTTTGGAAGGGTCGGGGTGGCAAGCGCATTTCTGGCAGGCCGAGTTATGTTTAACCTTTCTGGGACGAAGGAGGTGAGCAAACCGCTGAGTTATTGACAAGGCTGGGTATCAAGAATGCTTTCCCACCAGACCCTGAAATATTGGTGTCTAACCTGGTTGGGCTCCAAGTCAAACCATTAAAGAAAACTTGAGCCTCTAATCAAAGTCTCCGAGAAGGAGGATCTGTCCAATAGTGCTAAGCTATGCTGCTTGGCTCTTAACCCAGAGCTGACACTGTCGATTATTGCTGACAAGGCCTGCAGCCTATCCTGTGAGCTAATGAGGAATACACTTGGAGACTCTCAAGCATGTCCTTCATCTCCCATCTGCAGCCCCTCCTCTAACTTTAGAACATCCGCCAACTTGCCCCGTGCAGGCCTTGTCCTTCCTGCTTGTAAGTTAACGCCGATGACAGGCTCAAAATTTTAGCTAGGCATGCATGTGCCAGAGGTTTTTTCTTTCTTTTAATGGCTCTGCTCCTAGGCCTTTAACTGCAACAGAAACTTAGCAGGCGTGGGGATGCTGCAGGTCTGCAGAATGTGGGGAGCACCCCATTGAACACACCTTGACAATACCAGCCATTGGGTTGTCCACCAGTTTAAGATGGCTTTTACAAGGGAATAGACCAGGGTTTCCCAATCTTGGGTGTCCAGCTGTTTTTGGACTACAACTCCCATCATCCCTAGCTAGCAGGGCCAGTAGTCAGAGATGATGGGACTTGTAGTACAAAAACAGCTGGAGATCCAAGTTTGGGAAACCCTGGACTAGACAGATTTATGGAGGGATAAGGCTGTCGGTTGCGGGAAGTAGTGGAGGACAGAGGTGCCTGGCGTGCTCTGGTTCATGGGGTCACGAAGAGTCGGACACGACTAAACGACTATACAACAACAACAACAAGGCTGTCGGTGGCTGCAACTCATGATGGCTATATTACCTCCAGAATCAAAGGAACCGATTTTTGCATGCACTGTTCATCCCAAAGGGATGATAATCTGTTTTGATTTCCCCCCCCCCAAAAGGAGTGTTCTTTTTGCAAAGGGGCTCTTCCGGTAATGTTTGTCTCTCTTATTGGCTTACCCTTACAGCTGGAGGAAGGAGAGCGTTTTGCCAAGATGGTGATTGGCTTGGGAGAAGATGCCCAAGAGTTCTTAGCCAAGGGTTACCTTGCCTTGGGCCTGACATACAGCCTGCAAGCAACTGATGGTAACGTGTTTGACTTGTCTATTGTGGTCTCCACAGCAATCTTTCTGAGATGCCAGTTTTACGTGCCTGAAGCTTATGCATTTTAAGAAGTGCATGCAGCAGCCAGCAATTTATCCCACAAGATTTATATATTGCTTGATAGTAACAAAAATCTATCATCTATCTATCTATCTATCTATCTATCTATCTATCTATCTATCATCTCCTAGGCAGGACCCCCCTACACACAAATGCAGGTATCTGCAGCCATAACATCATACATTTCTCAGTATAATGTCATAAGACACTTAAAGACACGTGAAGTGGATGTTTCCCCTCATCTTGTTGTTTGCAAGCGCCTGATTTTCCAGAGTACATTTCTCAATGCATGGAGGAGAGGTTCATGTGAGCTTTTCATGGGTAATAGCTGTTGATAAACCTCTATGAGTTTGTAGAATCATAGAACTGGAAGGAGATCGATGCAGGAAATCTAGGGCTTGAGTATTCCCAACAGCCTGCCAGTCAATGCTTGAAGATATCCAAGTGTGGCAGAGAGCCCACCGCCCCACTCTTTTAACTAATTGCTTCCCTTGTTAGACTGCTCTTCCCATCAAGTGGTTCCTCCTTAGTTTAAGCCAAAGTGTACCCTTCTGTAGCTTAAGCCCATTCAGCCTTTCCTATTTTCCTGTTTTCCTACCTGCATCCTTCTTAAGGGATGGTGTCCAGTATTCCGTACTCCAGGTGAGGCCTGACTAGTGCAGAATAAAGTAGAACTTCTGCCTCCCATGACCTGGAAACTATGGTTCGACATCTAGAGATCATGCAGTAAGAGCTGAAACTTGATGAATGACCAGCCTCACAAAAAGGGACAGGAATTTACCTGACAGGGGATCCAGAAAATGTGGCGTGTCCCTGGGAAATAGGGACGGTTGCAGCGTCTGCTGTAAGGGAATGGCCAACCTTTCCTCGCTGGACTTCTTTTCCATACTCTGATAACCTTTGCGACCCTCCTCTGAACCTCTTCTGACATGTCGAATCCTTTTAAAAAAAGAAGAAGAAAGCCACATCTTGTGATAACCGAAGCTGAAAAACATGTTGGAGCAGCTGTTTAAAATGCAGCCGATCATGGAGAATAATCAGACTTCTCATCCACAAGGTTCAGCTAACCACCCACTTGAGAGAAATCAAGGACTTTATAAGCCCAAGATGGAAAAAACAAGCATGTTTCTGGCTGATATAAAAGAGCATTTACTATTGCAAGCCCAGAGAACCTGCTTTATGATGAACAACACTTCTTCTTCTTCTTTGGCAATCACTCGTAGCTGAGTAAGATTGTCTTCCATGAACACGATCTTAACAGTGAGTCCATAAGTGATGAGGATTCAAATTCTGGATCCACACGTCCTTCCACAGTGGAGACACAGTGGAGTGAATCATGGTTTGCCAAGCGTGCCTTCCTCTTAGCTTGTTTCTCCATTTCGTCCTGAGTTCGAGTGTCTTCAAAGCCCATGACGCCTTTGGTAAAGGCTGTTCTCCAACTGGAGCGCTCCCAGGCCAGTGTTTCCCAGTTGTCGGTGTTTATACTACATTTTTAAAGATTTGCCTTGAGAGAGTCTTTAAACCTCTTTTGTTGACCACCAGCATTGCGCTTTCCATTTTTAAGTTGGGCATATCTTACTTGAGTCTAGCTGATATTAGTTACTGTATCTGATATATAAGCAGAAATTTCCTTCTGGGTATGTCATCAGGCATTGGGACTTATTCTTGGCTTTTTGTGTGAGAAGATAAACGAGTGTTGTTTTTTCTGCCATTTGCGGAGTTGGGTTGGTGGAATCCCGATTGGAATTCTTAATCATTGGTGTGTGACTCCAGCCCATGTGAGTAAATCAGTACAAGGGGAATGGATAACTGATGGAGATGTATGCAAGTCAGTGCTAATTTTAGCACATTTGATGGTTCTGTTCTAAAATCCCTCTGTTTTGCAGGGTAAATTGGTTATAACCATTGGTTTAATTATTGGCTATTCAGTCCCTCTGAACCCTTTCATTATAGAATTAGGGTATTTAGAAAGAACCGTGCACAGGAAACATCATGAGCTGGTCCGGAAATTACTGCTAGCAGCTAAAATTATTCCTTGACAGTAACTGGCAGAATTGGCCCATCTTTTTCTTATCTGTTTGACATAAGAACGACAAATTTCACCCATTTCCTCACTAGTGGCTTCACCTCCAAGCTTCTACATCTTCAGACTGCCTGCAGAAGTCTACCCATTCATTCCCTGTTGTCTTAAGAGATACAAGTTCATCAAGGCCCTTCTTTCAGTTTTATTTTTTGCTGTGGTGCAAAGCATTCCATTAAAGCCTTGGGGCCTCCTGGGATAGCGTCCTCAGGAAAGCAGAGGACAGGAGAAGGTGCTGCCTGGCCAACATCTGTCATTGCTAATTTATGCTCTGGTCAGGAGCCAAAGTCTATCCCAGAAGAGTTTCAGACACACACACACACACACACACACACACACCCGGGGACATTTGCACTGGCTGAGCCTCTGGCAAAGTTCTGTCCCCTCTTTCCCAAGCCAGCAGGCTCCCGACAGACACGTCTCCTACATCGAGGGGACAGCAGGTGCAGCACCCAAGCTCTCTCTTTCAGGCAGCCTTCCAACAGCTTTGCACAGATGACCACGCAGAAGTGCCAAGGCTCAGCAAAGAGCTCATAAAAACCTGGCTCTGGGAAACCATCGACATCCACACAGGTAGAGGGGGAGATACCACACGCAAATGTTTCAGGGAGACCGAAGGCTGCCGTCCCATATCCAGCCAGTCCTGCTGGAATCTCATTCCAGCCTATAGGAACAAAGCAGCTTCATTTCAGGGTTGCAGCCATAAATGTGTAAGAAACTGGTGGGTTGCATCCGGCTAAGTCATACTTGGGAGAAGACCCATGGAAATGAATGGACTTAATTCAGGTAGTCATGTTCTCCGACCTAGTGGGATAAAACACACGGTGGCAGCAAGGTGATGTCCATTTTCGTGGGCTCCGTTAAGGGACAAAATGCCATTGGGCAGAACTTCTCCAAGCTGAAAGTATCCAAAGGAGGCAAAATAAACTAGGGACATCTTTTTAAATGTAAGGGTCCTTCGTACACGTTCCATTTTTATTTGCTTTTTTCACTCTTTTTGCAAAAAAAAAAAAATCACTTAAAAAAAAAGCAAACCCATGAAGCTATTTAAAAGCAAGAGACAATGAGAAAAGCAAAAGTCAGCTGCAGGAAAGAATGGACGTTTTGCGCCTCCTATAAAAACTGGAAAAGGGGGTTGGGTTTGTTTTCTAAAAACTAGCTCTGTGGACTTTCCACAGCAGAGTGTTCTGGACAAAAGCTGCTAAGAGCAGAGAAGGCTGGTTGGCAATGATATCTGGAATGGCAATGATCTCTGGAAGAAACGCCCCCATCTGACGATATGGCGCGATATCTGGACTAAACCCCATCAGTGAGTGTAGTGGCTGGAGTGCTGGACTAGGACCAGGGAGATCCAGGTTCAAATCCCCACTAAAGCCAGGGTGTTCACTGGGGCCAATTGTTATCTCCCAGCGCTGCCCAACAGAGCTGTTGTGAGGCTAAAGATGGGGAAGAATAGGTGCATCATTCTAAACTCTGTGGATGCAGGGCAGCACAAAAATTTAAGAAACAAATAAGATACCAAGATCTAGGGCAGGCATAGGCAAACTCGGCCCTCCAGCTGTTTTGAGACTACAACTCCCATCATCCCTAGCTAACGGGAGCAGTGGTCAGGGATGATGGGAATTGTAGTCTCAAAACATCTGGAGGGCCGAGTTTGCCTATGCCTGATCTAGGGAGAGCTCTTCTCTAACTTGCCATGACATTTTATATCTGGCCCAGTTTTAGCTGGACGTTCTCAAAAAGGAAAGATTGTCCACAGGCGTCTGGTCTTACAGGAGTGATCACTTTGTAGAGCCCCATGAATTAGGGCAGGGAATACTTTCTCCAGCAAGATCTAGGGAGAACTGTGTGTTCGTTCTCTCCTTTTCTCTCTCTCTCTCTCTCTCCCCCCCCCCCCACCCCTGCCACAACATAAAATCCTTAGGGGAATGTTCATTTTGAGGAACCATACGGACTGTTTTTCCCAACTTTGAAAGGGGGAAGGAAAAAAAGAGCACAAAGTCATTCAAGCTTAGTGTTTGCTTCAACGGTTACAAAACTTCTCATGCTCTTTTGCTTGTGTTACAGCTACCCTGAAAAGCACACAAGACGACTTGCACCGAAAAGCACTTGAGACTCTGGAAAGGTGAGGAAGAAAGATTCCCAACTGACAGGTGTTTTGTTTGTTTTACACCAAAACCTGAAGCAATCTCTAGTTGCTTCTACTTGTGTTGGAGCTCTTCCTCCTCTATCCTTGTTTTAGGTGCTAATGAGGGAATAAATGCACGTCAGCAAAAGCATATTTCTGCCTCGAGAGTCAACTGAAAAGGTCCTCCTGCTGCTCGCAGATTCTCTGTGCACTAACCAGAAGTGTTAAGAAGGCATCGTTTGGACAGAGCTCCCTCTCAGTGGGGGATTTAGCTTTACGTGGCAGGCATTCCTAGACTCAGATGTAACATCTCCCTTACTGTGCTATTTAGATGTAATTGCTGTCCTATATTACTCTTAAACCATCTTTATTTTTAGCCTTTTGACCTTTCCCCACCGGCTGTGGCTTGTTTCCTTGATATCTTAACTCCGGCTTGGACGCGGGCAAGATTGCTAATCGGACATCACAGATGCCCACCCGTAGCCAACAGGGGGTGTTGTCGGGAGAGGTCAACTACATCATAGTTGACCAGATGCAGAATAGCCTGCTAGCATTAAGAAAAGTACAGTGGTACCTCGGGTTAAGTACTTAATTCGTTCCGGAGGTCCGTTCTTAACCTGAAACTGTTCTTAACCTGAGGTACCACTTTAGCTAATGGGGCCTCCCGCTGCTGCAGTGCGATTTCTGTTCTCATCCTGAAGCAAAGTTCTTAACCCGAGGTACTATTTCTGGGCTAGCGGAGTCTGTAACCTGAAGCGTATGTAACCTGAAGCGTCTTAAACCCGAGGTACCACTGTACTTGAAGAGGTAGAGTATTTTTCTGATTACAGTGGTACCTCTAGTTACGAACTTAATTCGTTCCAGAGGTCCGTCCTTAACCTGAAACTGTGCTTTCACTAATGGGGCCTCTTGCTGCTGTTGCGCTGCCAACACACAATTTCCGTTCTCATCCTGAGGCAAAGGTAACTCTTCCAGGTTAGCGGAGTTTGTAACCTGAAGCGTTTGTAACCTGAGGCGTTTGTAACTCGAGGTACCACTGTATATTTGCTAGAGACAGGGTGGTTTGAGAGAGCTGAAGGTGCTACGAAGCAGGCATCAGTGCTGAGGATTTGTACGAAGGGAGACTGCCTTAAACCGAGGTCAAACTGTTGCTCTGTCAAAGCAAGCATGGTCTCTTCTGATCAGTGTTGCTGTCAAGCAATGTCTTTCACACTATGCTGTCTGACCCTTTGGGGGATGGCAAGAATTGAACCTGGGACCTTCCGCATGCAATATGCGTGTTTAGCATCCTTTGCTTCCTCCCTAAATGCCAATATTCTGCTACAGCACTGGTTTTGGGAGGCGTTTCTCGGAATCCCTGAGCACTGACAATATCTTCGCACAAAGCTGATCTCTTATACCGCTAAACCTGAAACTGTTACTCGCTTTCACCGCTTTCTAGGCGTGTTCCTTAAATATCCAGGCTTCCAAAAGCGCACTGCGTAGGAACACATATAAAATGAACCATTACCATGCCTCTCTGTGTTTGTGTTTTACAGAGCACGTCAATTGGCACCTGAAGACCACCAAATCATCCTCTACGTCTCATTGCAGCTGGCTCTTGTCAGACAGGTAGGTACAAGCAGCAGAAAGGACTCTTGGGATGCTCTGTTGTATATCTGTAGTTCAGTATGTTCTTTCCAAACTGACTTGCTTATTAGGAAGCCAAAGGTGCTTCAGTAATTTTAAGGGAACCCTTATTACATATTTTGCCATCTTTTGAGGGATGCAGATTACAATTTAATTTACTCTGCTATTAATGGAAGACTTAAAGACACTGGAAAAAGTTTGTTTCTGTTCTTATTTTTATTATGTATTTTGTTTTTCTTAAATTGTAATTTTATATTGTGTACTGCCTTGAGATCTACGGATGAAGCGTGGTATACAAATCTAAATAATAGTAATAGTAACGGTAATAATAATTCTAGGGAACCAAGCTGGATATTATTGCAGGTTTTGGGGCCGGAGGACTAAAAACCCTCAAAACAGTTCCAAGATCTGTGTTATGGATTTGTTTTAAAGTCAACATAGTTTTCATAAAGCAGAGCTATGCTTTTCAAAGAAAGTGCTCCGTTTAGCTAAATTTTGAATTTTCACCTGTACTTTCAACACTGAGGCTGGTTTAATTATTGTGCCAGTTCTACTATAGCCCAGAGAAGCCTTCAACAGCCTGGTCCCCTCCAGATGTTTTGAACTGCATGATGGGACTTGTAGTCCAAAGCACCAGGCTGGTGAATGCTAGCCTCCAGAGGCATGCCAAGAATGCCTCATTTCTGCTCAAAGCTCTCTGTTGAGTATAGGATATGGGTATTGTCCCTGTTTGTGCGTGAGCTACCGCCTGTCTTTGCAAACACAAACAAAAGAGCGAGGAAATTATGTATCGGTCAGAGAGGCATGAAGGCCTTAAGTGTAGTTCAACCTAAGGCCCTGCAAACAATATTCACTCATGATTAGTGCCGTCCCGCCTCTTCTGAGGCTGCCTTGTTTTCCTCCGTTTAACACGGTATAAATCTTTAAAGCACGCTTGGAGTGCGTTGCTGACACCCGAGACATATTTATTTTTAGGCCTCTGAAATATCCGATTCTGCTTTTGCCAGCATAGCTCATGATAAACATTTTCGTAATGCATTTTTAATATCCTTAATAATTTAAACTATTTAATGTATTCTCTTTCTGATTAACTGGAGCCTAAATGAAACTTACTAATTCATCTGGCAGATTGTATGAACTGGCAAGTGCCACGGCCGAGGCTTTCATCGGCCAATTTGGTGGCTACTGACATAAGGGCAGCATTCCAAAATGAATGGAACGACACCGTGGCCAAGTGCTCAGTCCATTCCTTGCTTTGGGCTTATGAGTCCAGATTCCATTGAGTCATCTTGCTGTGCTCTTGTTTCTCATTGGCTGTTGTCGCTCAGTAAGGCCGTTCAGAAGATTCTCGTTCATCCTGACTTCACAATTTCTTAGATCAAAACAAACAGCAGGTAGACTCAGGACATTAGCCAGCAACTTTTGCTTTTTCAATCTGAGGGTCATATTAGTTTGTAGGCAAACTTCTGGGGCCTCGTGCCTGTGATGGTGGTGGGGAAATGGGCTACATTCCAGCCTTGCAAGAAGTAGAGGTTCCTGCACACATCTTCCTCTTTCCAAGGAAAAGGCATTATCAAACATGACCTCCAACATTTCTCTGATGAAAATAGGGGCACCCTATTCCTTACTCTCCCAACATTTGTCCCATAAAAGTAGGGACATTCTGGGATCAAATCAGAAACCAGGAAAGCTTCTGTAAATCCGAGACTCTCCCTGAAAAATAGGGACACTTGGAGGGTCTGCCAAAGCCGATGAGGAGGGCACAGAGCTGAGTCAGTGAGGGACCTGGTCTAGGAAGGAAGTGTGGTCTGGGGAGAATTGGGCAGATTCATATTGGAGGAAGTCCAACACTTTCGATTGTGCTTGGAAACCAGTTGGGGGCAAACAAAAGCACCTACAGCTTCGGTCCAGTATATCTGAAGGAGCGTCTACACCCCCATCATTCAGCCCGGACACTGAGGTCCAGCGCTGAGGGCCTTCTGGTGGTTCCCTCACTGCAAGAAGCCAAGTTACAGGAAACCAGGCAGAGGGCCTTCTTGGTAGTGGCACCCACCCTGTGGAACGCCCTCCCACTAGATGTCAAAGAGAACAACAACTACCAGACTTTTAGAAGACATCTGAAGGCAACCTTATTTAGGGAAGCTTTTAATGTTTGATGCATTACTGTATTTTAGTGTTTTGTTGGAAGCCTCCCAGAGTGGCTGGGGAAGCCCAGCCAGATGGGTGGGGTATAAATTAATTATGATGATGATGATGATGATGATTACAGACAGGTCTGTATGGCAGATATGAGCCAGTACCCTTGGCATTGTATTTTGGAGCAACTTTACTCTCCGATTAGCCTTCAAGAGCAGCCCTGCTTACAACACATTGCAGTAGTCTAATCCAGAATTCAGCAAGTCATGTGTAGTCATATGGAAGCCAGCATTTCCTAATCATGGATCCTCCTCATATAGTACACACAGGGGAAAAGGCAAGCACAATTTCTTTTAAATTGGCAGAATTAAATTGGAGAATTATATTGATGAACTCAACCAAACCAGTGTAGGAAAACCACTGTGAAATGGCTTTTCAGTGTTCATATTTCTGTGCACAGGAATAGCAAGGGGTGGGGGAAGAAGCTGTCCAGCTGCATTTGTTCTGCAGATGTACGGTATTATCAAAGCAAGCCCTGCAGTAACGCAACACTCTAGATCTATATATTCCATTAAAGATGATTCTTCCCTCCCTCCCTCCCTCCGCACCACCCACCTAAGGGATTTTCTTGTTGTATAGCAGCCTTCTGCTGCTGGATCACACATGCTGTGGCATCGTGACAACTTGCATGTGTGAATGAGCCGTCACATATAGAGCTGTCATGTTACACAATGACTTCTCAAACAGTGAGTGCATCCATTCATCTGTGAGGGCTGAATGACATGCTCTGTTAAATGCATCTTCATATTTATACATTGAATTCCCTTCACAGAAGCCTGGCTTTCATCCCTTCTCCTTCTCCTCCATGCACCCACAATCATCTTTTTTTGGGGTGGGGTGTCCAGGCGAACCCCGGGAACAGCACATTGGGAGAGTAGAAGGAGAACTTCTGTGTCTGGAAAGCTAAAGTCCTTGCGCTGATGGAACGATCAAGAGGCACAAATACAAGATGGGTGACACCTGGCTTGAGAGCAGTACATGTGAAAAGGATCTAGGAGTCTTGGTTGACCACAAACTTGACATGAGCCAACAGTGTGACGCGGCAGCTAAAAAAGCCAATGCAATTCTGGGCTGCATCAATAGGAGTATAGCATCTAGATCAAGGGAAGTAATAGTGCCACTGTATTCTGCTCTGGTCAGACCTCACCTGGAGTACTGTGTCCAGTTCTGGGCACCACAGTTCAAGAAGGACACTGACAAACTGGAACGTGTCCAGAGGAGGGCAACCAAAATGGTCAAAGGCCTGGAAACGATGCCTTATGAGGAACGGCTAAGGGAGCTGGGCATGTTTAGCCTGGAGAAGAGGAGGTTAAGGGGTGATATGATAGCCATGTTCAAATATATAAAAGGATGTCACATAGAGGAGGGAGAAAGGTTGTTTTCTGCTGCTCCAGAGAAGCGGACATGGAGCAATGGATCCAAACTACAAGAAAGAAGATTCCACCTAAACCTTAGGAAGAACTTCCTGATAGTAAGAGCTGTTTGACAGTGGAATTTGCTGCCAAGGAGTGTGGTGGAGTCTCCTACTTTGGAGGTCTTTAAGCAGAGGCTTGACAGCCATATGTCAGGAGTGCTCTGATGGTGTTTCCTGCTTGGCAGGGGGTTGGACTCGATGGCCCTTGTGGTCTCTTCCAACTCTATGATTCTATGATTCTATGATTCTATGATTCTATGGTTATGTTGAATTCCTCCCTCTGCTTTTAAATAGCAGTCACAGGTTCCCCAATCTAGATTAGGACCATGATGCATGTGTTAACCTTTCACACACACACACCCCTAATGAAAATCATCAGTAGCAGCTTCCCACCTAGGGTAATTAACTGCTTTTGTGGGGGACAACTTTTGCTTGGCAAGCAACACTAGGGAGAGAGGGTTAAACCCATCTCCCTCCATCCCATGGTCCTGATCCGGACTGGCCCACAAAACAAAAGCAGCTGCTATATTTTTTTTTTAAAATCCAATATACACATAAAAATGCAAAGACACGTTTTATGTCATGTATAGGCTGGTCGAGAGAGATCAAACTTTGGGTAATGAGAGACTAAGCCAACATATGTGAATAAGCCCCCTATCATAGCAACTCAATACAAATTTAATAAAGAATAATAATAATATATATCTGTCTCCATATGCATCCCACAAGGTGTGCCTTATTTACTTCGCAGTGCTCTGGCTGCATTCACCACCTGGATTTGGGGGGGGAAATGTGACATTTTTGTCACATGATGTTTGTGTGGTTGGGTTTTCCAGGCTTCTCCAGAGACGTTCAGAACAACCACCACCAAAGAGGGATAGCTCAGTCCTTGGAGCATGAGATTCTTAATCTCAGGGTTGTGAGCCCCACATTGGGCGAAAGAGTCGTGCATTGCAGGGGGTTGGACTAGATGATCCTTGCGGTCACTTCCAACTCTACAATCTAAGTTCCGACATGCCAAAGTGCTGTGGTTGGTCAGCTGGATTCATCAGGCCAACTTTGATTTCCTGGGCAAACTGTGTGAGTCCACAGCCAGCAATTCATTGAGCCTTGCTAAGAGTGGCAAGTTTATCACACATTAAGCCAGGGGTCAGCAAACTTTTTCAGCAGGGGGCCGGTCCACTGTCCCTCAGACCTTGTGGGGGGGCTGGACTATATTTTGAAGAAATGAATGAATTCCTATGCCCCACAAATAACCCAGAGATGCATTTCAAATAAAAGGACACATTCTACTCATGTAAAAACACACTGATTCCTGGACCGTTTGTGGGCCGGACTTAGAAGGCGATTGGGCTGGATCCGGCCCCCGGGC